AGAAGGAAAGATTTCTAGCAAGTATGCATCACAGACCTGGCATTTCATCAAGAAGTTTGTGGGCACACATTTATCATCCTTTTACTCCTTGAAATATTCATTATTTTGAAAAATGTCCAACATCAAAGATCAAGATCCATGTGTAATGAACAACTTTGCTTCAAGAATTTTTTCCAAATAGTCCATACATTTCAAGATATGACCATAGGAAGTAGGTGACATGAAACCGAATTTTTGTCCAGCACCAAGGCATGTCGCGCGCGCATACCAGACCAGCATTTCATCAAACGTGTGATATTCACACATTCATAGCCATTTATCTCATTGATTTAAACCTTGTTTTGAAAAAATTTGAACATAAAAGTTGGAGCTTGTCATGTTCTCTCCAACTTTGATTCAAAGTTTGTCTCATTTCGTGGACTATGGAGAGAGATACTATGAGTTAAATTCATGGAAAGGTTTTGGTATTTAACATGGATATTATATCAGTGCACTTTCCAGTGTTTTGAGGCTTTATTAACATATTTGGATTTTCTACTTACAACAGGCTTGGCATGCGCACATATTGTTTCCATATTACACAAAATAGTTAAACAAATAGGAATTCTCATGCATGCACACATACTATCTTTCATAGCATATTAGGAAAGGTTCTTAAGTGGTACAAACTGCATCATCACGTACCAGCTAGCCTCCCTTATATCATCCTTTTTTTTCTTTCTAAAACCACAGCCTATGCTGAATGAAACACAACCCATATCACACTCATTTTCACATACTTTTTGTCAACTTTCCATTTCTACACTAAAAATGAAACTTCCTATCCACTCTTCGCCACTCTATATATGATACTCCATCCCTCTCTCATTCACACGCTTTTCCTTCTGCTCACACACTACAGAGAGTTTGGCAAGAGAGAGAGAATATATCTGAGAGCTATTCTTCTTTCTTCGAACAAGCTTCCTCCATTTTTCTTCAAGCTTTATTCATTTTTTCTTCTACTGGATCATTTGTGAAGCTTCAAGCCAAGCACCTCTGGGTTGCTAGATCTTTATTTAAGCTCAAGCATCTGAGTATTTTCTTCGCAAGGTAAGAATTCTATAACCTTCATATTATGCTTGCATCCTTGATTTCATTGGTTATGTGATGTTGCATTCGTGTTCATTGAGTCATTAGATGGCCAAACCTTATGTTTGAAGTATAAATCGTGTGAATATGTGTTGTAATCGTGTTCTGTAAATTTCCTGTAAAGCGATAAATCTGCGAGTTGGTTTTTGATTTTCTCCCTGATTTAGCATTTGTTTGATGAGGTTCTTGGTACCATGTTGTAGATCTCCATGAGATCTACACTTTTTGTGTTTATACTTTTGAATTTCGTTGAGACTTGAGCAAGATATGAGGTTCTAAATATCGATTGTTGAAACTGAAACATGTGATATAAGGGTTCTTTTCACAGGAATGATGAAGTTTCTTCCTCCGATTGAGCATGCTCTTGGTTTCTTTTACAGCGCGTTTTTCTTAAAACAGATCTACTAGATCATGTTCATTTTTGAATTTTAGCTTGTTCTAATTGTTTTCTTAAAATTTATTTCAATAGTTTCTTTGAACCAAAAATCACCAAAAAAATTAACAATATATTATAATGAGTCTATTTCATCACCATATTTTTTATTTTGATTTTAGAAATTCCGTGGTTCCTTAATTAAATTAATTGATTAAAGGTATCATTTCTTTAAAGATTTTTGTTCATATAATGTGAATGATTTTATTACAATCCTTCCATTAATTCTAAAAATAAAAATATATGTTTAGGATTTATTTATGTTTTAATTAATTTTAGATAATTTTTAATAAAAATTTTAAATGTTTTTTATTTGATTTTTAAATTGTGGAAGCCTAGTGTCTTTTTTTTAGAGTTTTCTTACTTATGTTTGAAGCTTGATTTAATTATTCAATTTCCTCCACTTTTAAAAATCATAAAAAATTATCTTAGGGTTCTTGGAAGTCTTAGGATCATAAAAATAATTTTTAATAATTTTTATCGCCTGTTTTCCTATTTCTCATCAAATATTTTTCTTAAGTTTTCTAGTTTGGTGATTTCATCAACTAGTCTTAATAATTGAAGATCATTTGCATATTTACTTAGATTTCCAAAAACATTAAGAATTATTTCTGACTTTTAGAGGTCTCAAGTGTTATAGAATTAATTTGGTTTGGATTTATAATTTTATTTCTATTTTTGATCCATTTAAGAAGTGAATATGGCCATTTGATTGAGTAATTGTGTTGAAGTCCTTTTGATGACTTAAGAACATATTTAGGATCTTATTTTTGGACATATAATTATCATAGGGATACTTTAGGATCACATTAACTTGTATTTATTTTTATTAGTCTAAACATTGTTGTTGATGATGCCTTATTGATGCCTTATATGGCATGATTTTGAAAACCCTAATTTGAGATTGCTTCGATCTTTGAATTACTTTCTTGCACAATGTTTGACTTTTAATTGATGCTTAGAGGAATGATAATATCAAGGATAGTCTCCCAAAGACTTGAGATATGTTTAACCTCAATTGATCATCTTAACCTTTCTCTTTGAATGTGATCTTGTCTATACTTCTTCTTGCTTGTATTGTGAAATATAAGGAATGCATTTATGCAATTCCTTGGGAATTCAACTCTCATTTTTTTACTTCATTATCATGACATATTTAGGGTCTTAAGATCAATTAGATTGATATATATAAGCTCCCTAAACTTTATTTGTTATGTTTAATTTTGTGACTAAAGTTTCAATACTTTGCAATCATGGTTTAAGTATTTAACTTATGCATGTCACCTCAATACCTTGACTCCAATTTTACTTGAACCATTAATGTTTTACTTCTGAATTGGTTTTTATATAGCCTTTAGTGCTATGATCATTGATTCATTGACTTACATTTGATTGTAAGATCATCATGATGACCTAAAAGAGCCAAATCCTTTTTCTTCTTCAACTTTAGTTTGATGATATTTTGTGGTGAGCCTTTAAGGCATATGATCCATATCTTTTCTTATTGTTTCACTACTGAATTATAATGTCATGAGGCCTTTGGTGCCATGATTTTTGATTCTTTGATGATCATTCATTTGATTACTCATCATGATGACCTTAAGAAGCTACAATCTTGTGTAATCCTTACCTTGTTTCCTTTGATAAAACTGGTGAATCTCTTAAAAGTCTTGGGATCCAATGTGTGTGCTTGATATTTGGTTATCTACACTGTCTTCTTATCTTAATTATTATGCTCCTACGATCCTTTTGGCTAGTACTCAATTGCTAACCAACATGGTGACATAATAAGAGCTACAATTGCTTCTTTGTTTATGTTTTGAACATTATTGATTGATGATTGCTTCTTGATCTTTGTGCCATGTCCCAAGGGATGTATCTTGATATTTGCTACAGCCTATAACATCTAAGAACATTGCCTTCATTTATTTAATTTGTATTGCCTGTAAGCATCAAAAGAAATTACATTTTGACATATATCATGAAACTTGAGTATGTCATTCTATTGACGTGTCTTGAGTCTTTAAGTTCATAATTGATACCTTGTGAGAGTTCCATCATTAAACTAGGATATATAAGGTGTCATTTCTTTCTTACTTAGTCTTTATCAACTTCATTTGATCTATGACAAATATCACCTTTCTTATGGGATGTCATTCATCAATTAGGTGACTTTGATTGTGTATGAAGTTTTATCTTTTACTTAGTGTCATACCCCAAATTTGTCCACCCTTTATTTTTATAGTAAAAAATATTTTAAACATTGTTTTTATAATATTATTTGATTTTTATAAATATTCGCTTTCAAACCTATTTAAAAATATAATAATTTATTTTAGATCGTTTTTGAATAAATAAATATTTGCTTAACCTTTCATGTACTTTCAATTGACTTTTTACGTTACATAAGTAGCATAGCACAATTGGTAAGGGAGAAAGACTTGTAAACATAAAGTCATGGGTTTGAATCTCGCTTGGTGCATTTTTTATATTTGCAAAAATCATAATAAATACCAAAAATATTTCCTTTTCGAGATAACTGTTTCTTATTGGTTAATCTGCATCAATTTGTGTTATACTCAGCTTCTGATTGGTCAACTTGTTGACCAAGAAAGATCTGATTTATTTTATTCTTTTTTCACCCTTTAACATGATTTTGACCGTCTATAAATAAGGTCCTATTTTCATAGTTTTAGAGATCAACAATCATTCACATTTTTACTAAGATTCACAATATCCACAATTCATTAATAATTTTATCTCCAAATTTACTATCTTTCCAATTCTTATTTTTTGGTTCATTATAAGGTTGTTGACTATATCAGACAACAATTCCAAAATTACTTTTCAAATTTATTGGTGTTAATTTCTATTCTTGGTCAAAGGTTTTATATGAGGCCCCTTACCTTCTATTTTCAATTCATTTGTTTTTCTAACCAAATGATGAACACATGATGATTGTCTATTTTTTAAAATTAAATTTACAATTCCCATTACACTTACGAAACTTTTTTTAAGCTTTTAATTTCTTAATTCGATGATTTACCATATGATGATATTGATGGCTCCTCATTTAAATTCATATTTTTTGTACCAATAATTTTTCCACGTCCCATTATTTTTATGCTATTGGTTATTTTCAGTATTTTCTCTCACCGTAAACATATTTTTTATACTAAAAAAAACATATACTTATTTAAAGTACATCAACCGAGAAAAACATTCCAGTCCTTTTAGCTAACTTCACACAACATTGTTTCTGAAAAATTCTCACACAATAACCACAAAGAATTTGTTACAGTCAAAACACTAAGTTTTTTTATAGTCATGTAATTCAACCAAGGATTTTCACAAATCAAGGGTAGCAAGGACACCCGTTTTTCCTTCTACTTCCTATAACCCACCTGAAGACTCTTTTAGCCAAGACGTGATTGCAACTATGGAGAACAGTATGAAGAAACATGCCGACAATCTCATGTGTTTTTTCGAGGAGATTAGTTCTAGGCTATCACAGTTGGAGTTATATTGCTACAATCTTGACAAATCTATCGGAGAAATCAGATCTGATTTAAATCGTGATCATGAGGAGCAAGATTCAAAGCTCAAATCTCTTGAAAAGCATCTTCAGGAAGTTAATCGGTCAGTACAAATTTTGAGAGACAAGCAAGAGTTAGCTGAGACTCAGAAAGAACTAGCCAAGCTTTAACTTGCTCAGAAGGAATCACCTTCCTCAAACCATTCACAATCCAATGAGGACAGATCCTCACCTGCAGATCTTAAAAAAATTGATAATGCATCTGATGCGAACAACCATCAGTTAGCTCTTGCGCTGCCTCATTAAGTTTCTCCTCAGCAGCAGCCTGCAGGAACACCCACACCGATCTGACCCCAGTGATCTCCGCCTCCCTCCGATTCACAGCCCTGCCACAACAACTCGACACCAACCGCGGTCTCGCAAGCCCTTCCGCCGTGCCACCACGTCTCCAATCCGCACGCTGCTACAAACCCAATCATTGGCCGCCATCGTCCAATCGTGAATCACCGGAAATTCATCGACATCCATCACCTCTCAAGCCTCAGCGTAAAACTGCGAACTTTGGTCATCACCTTCAGGTTTGATTTCATGATTTATCCTTATTATTTCATGAGTTTTTTGTTATGAGTTTCTTACTTTTTTTTTTTTTTTTTTTTTTATGTTCTGAAAGAGAGAATAAGATGAAAGAGAGATATTATGAGTGGATATCTTAGTGTGCTGTTATAATGTGTTTATTTTGTTTTTAATTTAATGTTCAAGTGTCGATGTTTCATAGGCCGAGAGAAATGATATGAATAATATTTAACCAGATAAAAAATGGGATGGTGGTTATAGATTGGATTGGTTCCCCTCCTTATTATTATTTTTTATCTTTAATTTTTTGGTTCATTATATATAATAATAAAAAATTAGGTTAGTTGTGATATGGGCCACCTGGGCTTTAGATTCTACACTTTTACTAATATCTCACGCCTATACTATTTATTTGTTCTAAATTTATTTCATTCAAGTTTAATTTTATTATTTAATTTTGGTTATTACATAAACATGAAAAACACGAAAAACAACATCTTTTCTTTTATTTCATCAACATTTTATTATATTAGATTTATTTTAAATTAATTTAGTTATTAAACTTTTATTTAATCTTCCCTTGAATGATAAGATAACAGGACGAATCCGCCACTGGTCCACAAAGCTTCTTAGCTATGCAAATATAGTTTAATTAGTCAATAATATTATTTGCTCTGTAACCCAATTCTAGATGCTCAATTTCCCTCTTCTAAAGGCAGTGAGTAAAAGAATAGATGTTGTTTGTAGAACCTTTGTGTGGACAGGTAAAACTGACGCGAGTAAAAAGAGCCCAGTAGCTTGGAGCAAAGTTTGCAGCCCCAGTAAGCAAGGAGGCCTAGGGCTGAAAAACCTGGTTGTATGGAACCAAGTTACATTGCTTAAATGCCTCTGGAATATCTGCAACAAAGGTGATAGCCTATGGGTCAAGTGGATTCATAAGGTTTACCTGAAAGGTCGGGATGTCATGGACGTAGATGTTGGGCAGAATTGGACTTTGACCATGAGGAAAATTATGAATCATAAGAGTTTGATAACCACAATTCATCATCAGTGGAATCAAATGCTCATGAAGAAGAATTTTTCTATGAAATCTGTTTATAAGTTGTTGATTGATGATTCAAGCAGGATAAACTAGAGTAGTTTGCTTATGCATAACCTAGCGAGACAGACTCTTACACTTTGGTATTATTTAAGACAGTATTTGCAGTATGTGTGGCTTGGAAGAAGAAAGTGCTTACCATATCTTCTTCGCCTGTGGTAAAACAATTGATACATGGCAGGCCATCTTAAAATGGATGAGAATCATCCATAATCTGGGGCCTTGGAATGCTGAGATGAATTGGATATTAGTGAATACAAAAGGAAAGGGTTGGAGGGCATTTTTACTTAAGATTGCTATTACTGAAGCCATTCATGAGACTTGGTTACTCAGGAACTCTGTTATTTTTGAAAGTAATACAAATAGGAAAAATATAGTGGAGAAAATTATTGACTGTATAGTGTATAGAGGATGGAGAAATAGGAAGTTTAGGCAACACATTGCTAGCCTTCTGATATAGTTTTGTCGCTATTGTTGGCTGAATCCTTTTTGGATTACCTTGGTTGTATTGCTTTTTTGAATTAATATATTACTTTGGTTCAAAAAAAAACTTTTATTTAACTAATTTAAGCTATTTTAATAGATTAATTAGTTGATTTAGATAATTGAGATAGTTATTTAATTAGGTTATTCCTTTTATTTAAATCATATTAAAAATATAAAATTAAGCTTCCTTGTACATAATTCCCAAACCTTTGTCTTAATTAAGTTAATTCAATGTTTTACATCAAAATTAAAAACCCCGCAACGCACCAATGAGCGACACGTGGCCAATATCTGGCCACGTGATAAGGAGACTATATCATACTTTCTACTCTATGTATTATCATACTCTTTAATCAATTTAAAACTCAAAATAGCTAACCAACAATTCAAACATTTTTTCAACTAACTTAACAAGAAACCAAGATGTTTTCGAAAAAGGATTAAGGAGAATTTCTTTCGAAATTAAATTGCGAATTGCGTCTATGCTCACACAATTTTCAACCCAGACAAAGTTCAAGGATATCTCAAAAGCAATTTTAATCAACCCTATAAAAAAACATAAACCAACCGCGAACTACGAAATGAGACTTTGATTCCTCCTAAGAGCATACGTAGGCATACGATTAAAATCGTGGCGAGTTCCCCTAATAAAAATTAAAACCCTATTTCCTAAAAATTACGCTTCTAAACCTAGTATCCTTGTGAACAAGGTAGACGAGGGGTGCCTAACACCTTCCCCTCGTCTAGAACCGAGTCAACAACCTAGAATCTCGAACTTTTGAGGGTTATCCTTTATATTCCCTTCCTTAGGATGAAAATTAAGGGTGGTGACTCTGATTTTAAAACCAGTTGCAACAGTTGGCGACTCGGCTGGGTGTAACGCCCATTAATTTAATTAAATTATTTTTGGGTTATTTGTTGAAGTTGTGAGATGTTGAGAATTGTTGGTATAAGTTGTTGAGATTATTATTAATTAATAGAATATTCACGTGGGCTTCTTTTATATGGTGGTATGTAGTACTAAGGGGGTGCGAGAATTAAGCCCAATAGAAAGAATTCTATTATTATTGAGTTTAGTTATAATAATAGAAAATAGGTTTTTGTCAAGAAGAAGAGGGATAAGGGTTGGAAGAGAGAAAGAGAACATGGAAGTTGCAGAGAAGAAGGAAAAGAGGCAAAGTTGGGTTCGATCGGAAAACTATAGAGCAACCTTCAATCCAAGGTAAGGGTGGGGTTCGTACTCTATAATTGGGTATATGATACATGTTACGTGGGAATTGGGTTGTGTGTAATTGTTGTATGGATAAATTGTTGTTTGGCATCTGTGATAATTGTGCTAACATTGCAGTGATTTAATTGATGAATCGAGTGTTGGAAATTTGCATATATTGATGTGAGTATAGTTGTTGTATTGGTCTGAGATCATGGGAAGGAAAGGAATTACTGATCGCAGGAAAGTGTGGACGTAGTTGTAGAACTGCAATTGGAATTATGGACATGTGCCGAGCGGAACATGTGTGTTGATGAAGGGTGCCGACCGACACCATGTTATGTGCCGAGGGGAACGGTTTGCATGTTGAGGGGCATGAATCCCTTAACCAGTGTTTCTTTTAATTGTTTATGGGACTGTATTGCATTTCTGTTACTTAGTAGTTTGTTACAGAAAAAGGTGTAGCAGGGTTAGAAAATGATGAATAACAGTAGAGATTGTTTATTAGTAATTGAAGTGATAAATTGAGGAATTAGCATAAGAATAGCAGAATATTCTTATATCAGTAAATTAATTAGCATAATAGTAAATTAGTAGAGTTGTTTTAGTAGCAGTAAATAATAGAGTATTAATACATAGCAAAATTGGTTTATAATAGAGATGGTTAGCATGAAAATCATAGATTTGATATTTAACAGAGCTAATTAGTTGGATACTTTAGCAGCAATAACAGAGAATTAATTATAGCAGAGTTAATTTAATGAAGTTGGTATATGTATATAGCAGAATTCAATAGCAGTGTAGTATTAACTTGTCAGAAAACTAATAAGGAATATTAGTATAAAGTAGAAATAATAGAACTTTTAGTCGATAAGTAATTAGCAGGATTTAGTCGATTTGTCTGAATAACTATACAGAACAATTGTTGTATATTTTAGTTGATACGGCGTGTTGAACACTTTGCTGAAAAATATGAATTGCATGAGGTATTGAATTGTTAGGATTATGGCCAATGTTGTTTTCTTATTGATGTTGTTGTGGGATTACTATTGTTGACATGTTATTGTTGTTGTGATGTACTAAGTTATAGGCTTATGCCAACATTGTATTAATTGTTGTTGTTGAAATATCAAGTTGTAGGTCTATGGCCAATGTTGAATTATTATTAAGTTGTTGTTTAATTGTTGTTAAGTTGTAGTTGAATTGTTGTTGTTGTTGTGTTGTTGTTGAATGGTTGATGTTGTAGTTGTTGTTGTCGCATGCATAATATAACAAGTTGGCCTGGATTGGCAAAAAGTTGAAGTTGAAGGTTTACGCCTTGTTGATGCCTCTATTAATTGGCAATTTCTAAGTTGGGAGTTCTGCTCCGCTGGTACCACATGCATGTGCATAGTAACAAGTTGCATTTCACGTTGCATATTATGTTGTTGTGTTGATAAATTATTTATTATGTTTCGTTGATGTTTTCGTTGTGATTGACGTTGTTTAAGGTTGTGAAGTGGTGATTTGGCATAGACTAACTCTAATTTAATATTATCATACATCTGATTATATTGTTTGATATCTCACCCCTTCTGTTTGAACGTTACCCCTATGTTGGTAACATGCAGATAATCTAGAGTGAAGGCGATTTACCTTCAGTAGTTCGAGTCGGTGTGATTGCTCTGATACGTAACACTCGGGGGATGAACGCTTGCTGCTTTATTGTTGATTATTTATGTTGATTATTTACCCCTAGGCTTTAGTTTCTTCTCTCTTTTAGGTTTAGGGTTTTGGCTAGGGTTTTTGTTATTTCTTTCCATATTTATTTATATTTATTTATCTATTTTGTTTTATTTATTTATTGTTATATTATTTGTCATACTATAAAATTTGTTGTGGTGGGATTTTATTATTTCAAAAACTATTTTTTTTAAAACCTTAGATAAAAGGTCCGTCCATTAGCCAAGGGGATACATCAGCCTTATGAGTTTAAGTGACGACTTCGCCTATAGTCGATAGAATTATGCGAAAGGAATACGTCTCAAGAGACATACTCTTGGGGGGTAGCACTTTGGAATAACACCTATGACTCTTTGTATAACCCTTAAACCAAAATCTCATGGTGAGACCTTTCATGACCTAAAGACGAAAGTTTCAGTCTGCAAAGAGGCTCCACTTAAGGGAGGCCCTTGTGCTTTTCCGTCTAGTGTTATCCATGATACCCTTAAGTAAACCACCTTATGGGGAGGGTAGAATATCCGTAGGCCAATACTAGGAACCTACATGCTAAGGATATCTTTTATAAAATCCCACTACAATCCCTAAACCCGAAAGGATTATCTTTTCCTCCACTACTATCTTTAGCCCTTAGGGCTTCCATCTTTTTATGATATAACTCCTAGCCAGTAGGGATTTTATTTTGAAAATCTTAATCCCTAGCTTGTAGGGATCCCCTTTTTCCGACATTATCCTTAGAGCTCTTATAAGATCTTGTTCATCTTCCCACGAAGAACAACCTCGCTAATGCACGCCATGTGGCCTATATCAGGCCATGGGATCTGATGACTATTGATTGGTCACCATGTGCTCTCTTCCATGCTATTCCCGCAATTCTGACCTTCACCTTAACTATCCATTGGTCTATGTCATACAGTGGGAGAACTGACTTGGGTGTTTTGCGTTTTATCGCAATTGTTGTGGATAGCAAGAGTCGTCACCAACTTTTCTTTTATCCAATAAAAGAAAGGGTGAAAAGAACAGGAAAGACCTTTTGAGATATTTTCTTGGTTCGGGGGGTAGGTTATGAAAAGGTAAGGTGTTAGCACCCTTTTCATCCATAGTTATCTACAGGCTCTTAGTTGCTTGCTAGATCACTTTGAAAAATGCTTTGTTTAAAATGTGTTTGTGGTGGGTTTTTGAAAGTATTTTGAAAACGCCTTTGTTTCAACAAACTTTGTAATGATTCTCATCTCTATAAGAATGTATACAAAGTGTTGTTTTTGAAAATAGTTCAAAGAGATGTTTGTTTTTGAAGGTGTTTTGAATGTGTGAGTGCAGAAATGGTTTTAGTTTGTGAGCAAGCAGTTACGAGCGTCATACCTACTCAAAAGGTCTTTGTTTTTTTCCTCCTCCTTTAGATGTTGCTATCTTACCTTTTATTGGTAAGAAGCCCCATCATTGGATGTGGAGGGACGGGAGTGGGTCAATCGTATATTCATAGAAGGCAACTTATGAGACGTTTTAGCAATTTTCGTAAGGGACTAGATCGTTTACCGAAGGCAAAATCGAGGGACATCAAGGGACTACGATATTTTTTATCGAGGGTTTTTGCTAAAATGCCCATATTCGAGGGACATGACTATTTTCCGAGGCAACAAGCGAGGTTATCCTAGAGGTGCACGTGTGAATAGTGTGTTTGATTGCATGCATTTTTATCTTTGAGATTAGGGTTTTATAACGGTTGATTTTATCTTTCCATACACAACCTAATTACTAACAATTTATATTAAAGAGGTAAATTGCGGAAATTAAAATCCTAAGCTATTACATCATTAGGGGGGTGGGGGTACAATTTACAAATGGGGATGAAGTAGAAACTTAAATACTATAACCATATCGAATAACAATGAAGACAATGTAAAAACAGTGTAAGATAAAGGAAAAATTGCATTTTGAACTATTATGTGTCGACACATGCTGCTATGCATCGACACATAACTTTCCTTGCCCCTGTTAAACCAAACCAACTCAGTATGAGTCGATGCATACTGGGATGTGTCGACTCATGCACCTGCTTGTGTCGATAAATATGCATTTTGTATCGATTCATGCACCTTTCATCTTTCTGTTTTGGGGCCTGGATAATAGTATGAGTCGATGCATAAGGCAATGTGTCGATTCATACCTTATTTTTCATTAGAATGAGTTGACCCGGGTGGGTATGTGTCGACTCATGCTGTAGTTTTTTTGCCTTAAACATTGTTTTACTGTCTGAATGGGTCAGTTTACAGCATATGATTGATAAACATAAACAACAAGCAAATGGTTAGCTTAAAGGGGAAATTATTACTACATTTTATCTACAAAAATAATACATTAATGATGTATGAAAAAAATGCAAAGTCAAGAAGACTTACCTTGAGACTGCACTTGGTGTTTTGAATCTGAATACTTTTCAAGATACTGTGAGGGCCTTAGTGAACCTCTAGGAAGTTGTTCCAAGCTGTTTAAATCACACTAAACCTAGTCAAGTTTCACAGTATTGTTTTTGTGTTTGGAGGGTGTGATCGGTGGGAAAGAGAACTGACTGTTTTAGAATGCTGGTTCGCGTTTTGCGTTTGTTTCACAAAATGTCGCGGTAAGCAAGAGTCGTCACCGTCTGTTATTTTATCCAACAAGGAAAGGAAAAAAAGCACAGAAAAATTCCTTTTTCGAGATGTTTCTCGGGTTCGGGAGGTAGATTATAGAAAGGGAAGGTGTTAGCACCCTTTCTATCCGTGGTTATTCACGGGCTCTTAGGTACTTGCTCATTGTGTTTTCAAAATTGCTTTTCTTTGTGTTTGTGGGTTTGAAAAAAGTTTTTGTTTGAGAGGAGTGTAAGTGCGAAAAGTTTTATTTTGTTTTTAAAAGGAGCAAGTACTTAAGAACCATCTACCTACTCGAAAAGGGAATTAAACTGTGCAAATGTCCTTTAGACAACGCTAGCCCACTATTGATGAGTAGGTAGCATCGTCGTCGGAGTTTTAACGGTCAATTCGATTAAGGGACGTGTGGTCACAAAAGCAATGTTAGGACGCCTTAGCCGTAACTCTAATGTTCTTAGATAATTATTTTCGAGGCAACCGTTTCGAGGCAACTTATGATCTTTGGACAAGAGGGCGATCTCTAAAACTTCCTATACTCGATGACCACGTTCAAAGGCAACCAAGTGAGGTGTACCCTAAGAGTGGCATGTGCGAGTGTGTTATTTCGGTTAATTTATCTTTGTAGATGTCATGGTGAGCTATGTTGATTTTAAGTTCATACATTGGATCTTGTCATGCATTCCCTATTATCAAACATCTAACAGTGTATAGTTGCGGAATTTAAATTGCGGAAATTAAATCTAAACTATTACAAGGCGTCGGGTATTTACATCGCCAAAAACAAACCCTTTAATTTAAATTGTGGAAAGTAAAATAAAGCAATAAATAATTAAAGTCCTAATTTAACTATTACAATCCGGGAAACAGTTACATCAATATGGTAAAATAGATCGCGTGTGGAAAATTAAATCGAGCGCATTTTTTAGGGTTTTGACCCTTTTTTTTTTTTGAAAGAAAGCATTTTTTTGTTTATTTTTGGATTAAAAAGAAGTTAGATCTAAGTAAATAATTAAATTAATAAACTGATTAATTAATTAAAATATTTTTGGATTTTTGATATTTAAAGAAATAAAATAAATTAATCAAAGCTAATAAAAACCTAATTATCTAAATTAATTTTAATTATTGCAAAAATATTAAAGTTATTTCCTAATTAAACTAAATTAATTGAATTAATATTTATTTACAAAAATAAAGTGCTGAATTTAATTTTAATAAATAAAATATATTTTTTTGTTTTTGATTTTATTAAGAAAAAAGATTAATTGGTTAGTGATTAATAAAAAGAATAACAATTAATTAATTAAAGGAAAATAATAAAAATAGATAGAGAGTTTAGGAGTATACGGACCTGATTGGAGGGGTGAAACAGTTGTTGACGTCATGTGTAAACTGTTTTGTTTTGACCATTTGTGTTTTGACTTTTGGCCATTTGTGTTCTGGCCTCAACGTTCCTTAACCTTCTCAGGATGTCTGTCTCGCCATGTATTGGTGTCATGTGTAAACTGTTCTGTTTTAGCCATTTGTGTTTTGGCTTTTGGCTATTTGTGTTTTGGCCTCAACGTTCCTTAATGAACCTGCATGGGATCCTGTCTAAATCTGCAGTGTTGAATCTGATTAACACATTAAATAAATTATTATATATCATAAAATATAAATGAAGCCAATATATGAAGAAATTTAATGTTTAGGCCCAATATGGCATGTATGAATGATTATACCCTTTTGATCATGGAGATCAAATCAGCCTTACCTTTGGAGAAGTAGTGATATGAATATTTTTATGCCTTTTGATCATGGAGATCAAGTCAGCCTTACCCTTACTGGAGAAGTAGTGAGATGTTGGTTTATAATCGGGATGGCTTGTTTGTAGTGAGATGTTGGTTTGTAACCGGGATGACTTGTTTGTAGTGAGAGAGGGATTTGTAATAAGGATTTCAAGGTTTTAGGATTCTTGAAAGAATTTGATATTTTGATAGCGTTGTGGCAAAGATTTTTTTCTCTCCTTTGTTTGTGTGAAAAGAATGAGATTATATAATAGAATTTAGAGAGCAAAAAATGAGCTTTGAATGTGCAATTGGGCCTCCAATATTCACCTGGGTTCGTCACTTTCCAGGCTAAATCGCAGGGACTTAAGTGTAATTTTTGAAGTTGAAATGTGAAAACAAAATGTAGCCGACATCGAGAACTAATTCCTGTCTGAAAATTGGCTCAATCAGATAAACGGTGAATTAGTTATGAATTTTTGAAGTTTCAGCTCAGACAAACTTATT